CGTCGGCCTAGCCCGGGGACGCAGAAGAGCGGGGCTCAGAAGAATCACACAGTTGCCATCTGTCTCCTGCTAAGGGAGCCAAAACCACCGAGCCTGTCCTCCCGCGCACGCTGGCAGCGCTGCGTTTCAGCACCCAGAACTTACCCAGCTCTGCGGTGAGTGTCCTGGAGAAACCAACAAACAACAACAAAAAACAAAGAAAAGAGTCAAATGTCTCAGGTGGGGAAGAGTCAGATAGGACAGACGGATTAAAGGCTCATTTCCCCGAGGGCCCAGCTGGGCCAGACAGGGCCCTCCAGGGAGGGGCGCGGAGCGCACGCCGGCACCCCTGCTGCCGCTCCCACGGCCCGGCTGGCTCTGGCTCGGGTCTCGGTGGCCCGCGCCCCGCTTACCTTGTCTCTTTGCAGCCTCCTGCGTTAGCTTTTCTGCAAGCAAGAAGGAAGGGGAGAGGGCTGAGCGCGCCCTGCCTGCCTCCCGGTGCCATCCCCGCGGGCGCTTCCTCGGGCCGGGCCCAGCTCCCGCCAGGCGTCCCCTCCCTCCCCGGCAGCGCGGGCTGGGGCGGGCCCTACCTTGCGACCTCCGCCGCTTCTGCAGCAAGCACAGCGCCGGCGCGCCCAGCGCGGCCAGGAGCACCGGCAGCGCCGCCAGCGTGCCCAGGAAAGCTCTGCGCCAGGGGGACGCTCCGGGCAGAAGCACGTCTGGAAAACGCCCCGCAGGGAGGTGTCTCTGAGAAGGCGCCCCTGGACCCCGCGGGCCGGAAAACCTCCCACCGACCTCTGCGCCGCTGGCGCCTAGGCGCCCTGGACCCCGCGACCTCTGCGCCGCTGCGCCTAGGCGCGCCTGGGACCCGCCCGCGGGCGGGACGAGAGCGCGCCGGCGGCTCCGCCGCGTGGCAAACCGAGACCGCAGCCGCATGCAGAAAAGCTAACGCAGGAGGCTGCAAAGAGACAAGGTAAGCGGGGCGCGGGCCACCGAGACCCGAGCCCAGAGCCCAGCCCGGGCCGTGGGAGCAGGGCAGCAGGGGTGCCCGGCCGTGCGCTCCCGCGCCCCTCCCTGGAGGGGCCCTGTCTGGCCCAGCCTGGGCCCCTCGGGGAAATGACGCCTTTAATCCGTCTGTCCTATCTGACTCTGTCCCCCACCTGAGACATTTGACTCTTTTCTTTGTTTTCTGTTTGTTTGGTTTCTCCAGGGACACTCACCGCAGAGCTGGGTAAGTCCTGGGTGCTGAAACGCAGTGCTGCCAGCGCGGGCGCGGGAGGACAGGCTCGGTGGTTTTAGGCTCCCTTAGCACGAGACAGATGGCAACTGTGTGGTTCTTCTGAGCCTCCCGCCTCTCTGCGTCCCCGTCCCCGGGCTAGTGCCGACAAGGTCTGACTGAGACCCGCTGGACAGACCCTGCCAGCTCCTCCCTGCAAATGAGCTGAATCGGTTAAAATCCCACAATTAAACGTTTGCTCCCTCGGGTTCATCTTCCTAGGAAATCCTTCTCTTTTTAATACAAAAGCCACTAGGAAGGGTGGCACCTATAGTGTGCACCGAAGTGGGAGTAACTTTTCAGATTCACTTTTCTCCCCAGCAGGACTCAGCAAGTTGAAATTGTGGGGGGAGGTGTCTGGACGAGGAGGGGAGGGCGAACCCAAAGGAAGGAAGGTGGAGGGAAAGGCCCCCGGGGTGTAGGGGTGGATCGATCAGACAAACTGTGAGGTTGAGGAAGCTTCTCTCCCTGTCTTGTCCTTAAGGGGAATTAAAAAACAGCCCTAAGTCATTAACACATAGTCTGAATATATATACAATGTTGCCTTTCCTGGAAGCGTTTACCTTTGATAGAGTGTGACATTTCCTTCCTAATGGCAAAATGTCAGAGTCCTTGGTATCCAGTCGGAGGAAGTAAGTGGGTACGATGTCCTTCCAGTCCTTTAAATAGTGTTCCCACTAAGCGACCATGAGGCTCATGCAGGCTGTGCTCAGTGCCCGGACCTTCCTGGGAGCCCCTCAGGGTGGAGGGGCCGGCTGAGCCCTGGGAAGAGGCCCCTCGGCATTGAGGCCCGTGTCCCTCCCAAGCCCTGTGCACGTCTCCGCCTTTGAGCGAGAGGAGGAGGCATAAGCATTCTGCAGGTGGGCCTCCTTCTCTAGGGCCATGAACAGGCGAGGAGGAAGCTGGGGTTGGCAGTGGGTCAAGACTGAGGAGTCTCTTCCCAGGGGCCTAACTGCTTGGGGAAGGGGGTTAATCAACTAAAGGCTGATGTTCCGCAGACATAAGTTAAAAAAAAAAAAAAACAACTAAAGGCTGATGTTTTCTCCCCGTGCTCTGTTTACAGAGAAGCTTCAAATGGAGCTTGGTAAGTGACCCCTCTTAGAACCATCTCTTCTCACCCCCATTTTTGCATATGGTTATCTTCTCATCTCCCAAACAGGTAAGTTGCCCAGGCTGGCCCCCTGCTGGCTGTGTGGGTGCAGGAGAGAGGGGAGGGGCAGGGCTGGGTGCGAGTTGTGACGAGTGAGCAGGGAAGCGCAGGGCCCTGCTGTTCTAATTCCTCCTTTTCCCTTGGCTGCCTCAGACTGGAGACGGGCTGAAGGCCAGGCTGGTGAGTGAAGCCCTCTCTTTCTCTCCGTTCCTCGGGGGTCCCAGCGCCCGACCCAGCTCTTTCTGATTAACCAGCCACACTTCATTCTGGTTTCATGGCACGGCCTGGCACAGCATGTGTTAACCTACGTCACTGGGTAGAGACTAGGCTCAAGTTTCGCTTTTGCATAGTCCTGAGGCCTAAGCGCCCTGCAAACCACTGGTTTCGATCCTGGCTGCACATCTGGGTCGCCTAGACCCCTGGTGCCCGCCCGCAGATACTCTGACAGTGGGTGCGGTGGGTCTGGTACCGTACACGTAAACATTTCTCCCCATCCCTCCCTCCACTGCATCCCTAACGTGGTGTGATGTGTATAGTTTGTACGTACCCTTGCAAGATGTGAATGTGTTCTGTGTGCCTGTATTATGCAGTTCACGTGGCGGGAGGACTACGAGTGACCTTTATAGTCCTGCGCTGTTCCTTGCTTTCCGCGTGCGTCGCTTGCTGCAGCATCCATCTCTGCTTCCTGTGTGCATGTGGTCTGTTCCTCCTAGCCGCACAGTGCTCCGTTTTAGTCAGCCACCCTCCTGGGTACAGGCTGCCTCTAACCCCACACCACCACAAACAACACTGAGTGAACAGCCCCAGCGTGTCACTGTATTGCCCTCGGTGGAGATTTCTCTGGAATACCCACACAGGACAGGGACTGCCGGCCCATGAGAGGGACCCTGGAGGCAGCAGCATCCTGCCGCCCTTTGGTGCTTGTTCCATTTTATAGTGTCTGAAAGTGTAAGTTCTACTTCCCCATTCCCGCTTCCTTTTTAAAGTTAATAGACCTTTTTATTTATTTTTATTTGTTTTTTTATTTTTATTTATTTATTTTTTGAGACAGAGTCTCACTTTCTTGCCTAGGCTAGAGTGAGTGCCGTGGTGTCAGCCTCGCTCACAGCAACCTCAATCTCCTGGGCTCAAGCGATCCTCCTGCCCCAGCCTCCC